TGTTTACAGGAGACAGAAAGTCGATGTCCTACTCTACAAAACAGGTTGAGACTACAGAGGTTGTTTTATTTGGAAAAGAGTTGATTCTGATTGACTTGAGTAGTGTTTTCAGGTGGAAGAAAGGTATTTAGAGGAAGGGTTCTGTCCTTGATTATTTGTGGGAGATGAACTAACTCAAGTGTAAACTTTTAGCATGATGGAAAAGAAAATGCACATTCTTTGAAGTTAGGTAAACTGGAGTTCTATTCCCTGCCTCAGCTTTACTATGTGACAGTAGACAAGCTGCTTACCCTCTCTGAATCTCAGTTTCTACATTTGCAAAATACAGGTTGTTCTGAAGACGAGAGTTAACATAAGTAGAGGGTCCAGAATTCAGTAAGTTTTCAGTCATAGTTAACTGATGCAATTACTAGTAGCACTTAAAATAACCTCAGGTTTCAATGGCACATAATGTAGGATTTCTATACCTTCAGAAAAAAATAAAGCATGAAAATGGGCTATGAGGATCCATTGTTCTGCCCACCTTCTGCCTTATAGACACAAACAGCCCACTAGGCAGGACAGACAAATAATTGTCTGACCTGAGCAATAAGGCACTCACCAGCCTTCAGGTAGGCCTAGGCTAAGGGCCAAACACGTCAAGGTCCTTCCTAACCCAGAAAGGAGAGACAAGCACCTCAGCACTGGATGTGAGAGCCCATCACAACTTCCTGAGCAGTGGTCAACCCTTCAACTGCAATGGTCCAATTCTCAAGGTTCAAGTGTGCTTCCAACTTCCAGAGCGCAGGTCTAATGCTGATCGATACAGCCTATGTAATCTAATTACCTGTTCCGAGTCATGCCTATGTGTTTCCTGTCTTGTGTGCTCACATTCCTGGGCAGGGACCATATGCTACAGCCACAAGGCCCCCAAGATGTGTGTGCGCACATGTATGTGTATGTGCACACACACACACACACCCCTAGTACATCTGCCTTGGAGTTTGCTGTTTCCTCTGTCTAGAATCGGGTACATGTCTGGCAGCTTCCCTTGTCTCATTAGAGAGACTATTCCTGGCCATCCTATAAAAGTGGCTCTCAGGTCTAACAGGTGGTGTGGTGATTAAGGTGCCGGATCCCCCCATAACCAGCCATGGTTCAAGTCCTAGACCTGATGGCTTGAAAAATCACACCAATCCTGAGAGGAGAATAGAGAAGAAGAAATTGAGGCATGGCAATACCCACTAGGGGGTGATTTCTTACTTTCCCTCTTTCTGTCTCTCTCTCTCTGTCTCTTTCTTCTCCAGTGAGCACACACGCCCTATGGACAAAAACCTTAAAAAATAAAAAAAAATAAAAAAAAAGCTCCCACTCTCACTCTACCTGCTAACCTGATTTATTTTTTCAACATTTATAAATAATTGATGTATATGGGGCCAGACAATGACACAGAAGTAACATGCAAGTATGCAAAGCAATCCCACATAGGAAAGTTTCTAGTTAAGTCTGGAGACCACCCTGAGTATTCTAGACATGTGTGCCAGTGCTGAAGGGCACACGTCTATATGTGCCCATGGTTAAAGGGTACGCACGTCTGGTTGAGGGGTGGAAGTGGATCATGATATCAGGACCCTGCAGGGGTGCTGTCTCTCTCTCCCTCACTAATGAAACAAATAAATAAACCTTTTCAAAACTAATGGATACATATGAATATGTAAGGGGTCTTCAAAAAGTTCATGAAAAAGGCATATAATGAAAAAAATATGCACGGATTTCAAAAATTTTAGCACCAAAGTAAACTCACACTTGAATTGCATCTTTACATGAACTTCTGGAAGTTCTCCCATATTTTTTGATACCTACATAGATGGCAATTTCCAAGGGCACCTGTTAGTAAAACGCACTTATTGAGGGATCAAGTTCAACTTTAGAAAAAGTGACCAAAAACACTGAAAAACAAGGACTCCAACATCAGAAGGGATTTTGGAAAGAGAAAAGGAAGAATAAAAGAAAATATTTCAAATGTCAAGAAAAAAAAACACAAATATTAAATGTTATTAGGGATACAGAGGAAGGAAAAAGAAGGTACAGTCATGGGTCACTTAGTGGCATGAATAGGAATATGCTCTAAGAAATGCATTGTTAAATGATTTCGTAGTTGTGTGAGTATCATAGAATATGTACTTACACAGACCCAGATGGGATAACCTACCATACTTCTAGCCTATTAGATATATAGCCTATATGCTCCTTATAGGACCACCGTTGTTGTAAGGGGATCTTCAAAAAGTTCAAGGAAAATGTATATAATGAAAAAATATGTGTGGATTTCAATTTTTTGCATCAAAATAAATTCATATCTTGTTTTGGAGAGCTTTTTGCTATAGGGTACGTGTTCTCACCAGAAAGACAAGAGAGAGACGGAGAGATAGAAAGAGAGAAATCACCCCCCAGGGGGGATGGCCACACCACTATCCCTTCTCCTCCATTCTCCTCTCAAGATCTGGGCACACATGCACACGTGCCCAGCGTGAGTTTAAGCCACTGGGTCTGGGACTCGAACGACAGTCAGCTACATGGGAGTTCAGCGACAGAGCCATTATGCTAACTACTGGTCCCATAAATTCATATCTTAATTCATTTATTCATGAACTTTTAAAATTCCTCTTGTTTGTCATTGATTGAAATGTCATTGTGAAGCACATGACTGTAGTTACATAACTGAAGACAGTTGTACTAGAGTGAAAATTCCTGGAATCCATCTGCCTAGGTTCTAGTGTGCATCACTACTAAGTAGTTGTTTTACCTACAACGTATTGTTCAATTTTGTTATCTGAAAGCTAAAAGTTTAAGTTAATTTTACTTTATAGATGTGACCTTAAAATATTCTGAGGTATGAGACTAGCAGATGGCATAATGGTTGCATCACTGGACTCCCATGTAGTCAACAACAATTTGAGTCCTGGACCCAGCGGCTTGAAACTCATGCTGGGTGCATGTATGTGTATGCCCAAAATCCCAAGAGGAAAGAGGAGGAGAAGGGATTGTGGTGCAGCCATCCCCCTAGGGGGTGATTTCTCACTTTCTGTCTCTCTGTCTCTCTCTCTTTGGTGAGCACACGTGTCCTATAGTAAAAATCTCTCTTAAAAAACTAATTCTTAGGCAAATAAAATTTTAAAGAAATCTAAGTATATTTTTAAATTATGATATAAGGAAGTGTTTTCATAAATCACTGTGTAAAGGAAATGATCACCATGACCAATGTTTAATGTAAATATAAATTCTAACAGAATGTACTAAATATTTCATCAGTTGATTCTAAATATAAGTTTTGGGTTATCCAAAAAGTCTTGCAGAGAGAAAACCAAAGATAACTCCTGACAATGTGTCATTTAGATGTAAAAAAATTCTCCCAAATTATAAAAAAGTCTGACCATTAAAATAAATATCTGTTGCAAAGCCTACACACATTATGAGACTTAAACATCACATTTGATTCAATATGGTTTATGTAAGACAAAATGTTCTGCTTGAATAACTCTGTGTGTGTGTGTGTGTGTGTGTGTGTGTGTGATTTTACTAGTCATTTCATTTTCCTCTAACTTTCCATAGATAAGACTTTATTTCATTTTTTAGAGATTTTTGATATAGGATACATGGGCTCACCAGACAGAAAGAAAGTGAGAAATCACCACCACCACCCCCCCCAAGGAGATGGCCACCCTGCAATCCCTTCTCCATTCTCCTCTTAGGATTCTGGGCACATGCGCACATGCACCCAGCATGAGTTTCAAGCCCCCAGGTCCAGGACTTGAACTGCAGTCTCGCAGGAGTCCAACAACTTAACCACCATGCCACCTGCCAACTCCAATACAGAAAGGGTGAGATGAAAAGAATATAGAGAGAATCATCAACCCAAAAAGCAACAGAGTCTCAAAGACCATTTACAATAGGAGCAAATAGTCCTATAAACTTCAGCAATTCCTAAAAGTTTCACTTTATAATAATGTAGTCATAATGATGATATTGTCAAGAAAGGTAGTGATCTATAACTGCTTTACTGAAGCAGGAAACTACATCTAATATATTTTGAAAATATTTCCTGGGAGAAAAATTGTTATTTATTTATTTCTAAAATTTTAGCACTTTTTTTAAAAAGAGATTTTTGCTATAAAGCATTGGAGAGACAGAGAGAGAAAGTGAGAAATCACCCCCTAGAGGAGATGGTTATGCTGTAATCCCTTCTCCTCCACTCTCCTCTCAGGATTTTGGGCACACATGCATACATGCCTGGCATGAGTTTAAAGCCATCAGGCCCAGGACTCGAACCGTGGTCAACTACGTGGTAGTCCAACGACATAACCATTATACTATCTGCTGGCCCCAGCAGAATTTTAGCTCTTAAAGGTAATTATTTTCTGAAAAATTTTCTTTATCCCATGATTGCTTGTTTCCTGGTAATATAAAATACTAAGATACCACTGCAGGTATTATGGTCACTTATCCATGCTTATCATGAAAAAAATAACAATCTTATGGTGATTATTAATTACCATAAAATTTGTTTTAAGTGACTAAATTACCAAGTATAATATAGAGGGTAGAATAGCATGAAGTATTTGGTCTAGCGATTGAATTCTGTTAACAAAGAATTTGGGAGGCCTAATACTGGCTCAGCAATAAAATGCAGCTCTCCTCAAGGCATTCCCATACAGGAAGTTTCTCGGTTCAAGTCCAGTGAGCTCTGTGAGTACATCATGTCAGCATGTGCTCGTGATCCTGGGCTGGCTAAGGGTACACCCTGAAATCAGGACTCTGATTCTCTCTCTTCCTGCCCCCCTCTCCTTTCTCCTCTCTCTTGGAAATTCTTGGGTCAGCCATAATTTCTCTTTGCTTGAGTCAACACAGTGGCAGAGCAAGCCTCTCTTTTCCAAAACCCAGGGGCCAAGAGCCCCCAGTGAGAGGTGAGTGCAGTAACATGACTTAGAAATCTCAGTGAGTCTCTTCCCAGTGATTCTTACCTGTTTCTTCCAGAATCTCTGAATCCTTTGGCAAAAGGGTTTCGGTCAATTTTTAATCTGGTGATCTAGAAACAAACAAATAAGTATAAATTGCTTTCATGTTAACTTATTTCTTGTCAATCCTAGAAAACTAACAGAAATCACCCTAGTAATAACAGCTATTCTTTTTATTGAGTTTCCTTCTAGTTTGAAATTGAAATTGAAACTTGATATAGGATTTGGGCCTGGTACCCAGGTGTGTAACCCACCAGACTGACTTCTCTTAAAAACAAGATTTGCTCAATATGTGACTCGGTAGTCACTTCTGCTCACGTTCCTTGTCCCAGATTGTTGACACATCACCTGCCTAGACAGACATTGAAGTGCAAAAGTGAGGAACAGTCAGGTCCATCATATGTGACCCATAGGAAGCACTTTTTAAAATGCTTGTTGAATGAAAGGTGAGAAAGTGAGTGAATCACAAATGGATTCTATCAGTTCAGTCTTCTAGAAGCGGACCATCAATCTGTTTCTGCCTGAAACATCTGAATAAATAACATATTTCCCATTTCATTTAGGTTGTGCTTTTCCAGCCACCAGCAATTGTTCATTTAATGACCTGAAAGCTTCATGTAAAAGACCCAAAAAGTAGCCAGCTTTTCACCAGGGCTTTACCCAAAAGTGACCCTGAATAGAGCAGGATGCACTGCATCCTTCCAGTCTCTGAGAGCCACAAGCAAATCAGAAGAAACAAAGAGGAAGCTGCACATGGTGGAGCAAAGTCTTGGCATCCAACTGTGTCACCTAGGTTGAACAGGTACAGGGGTCATCTGATTCAAACTCTACTAGATGCCCTAGACCTCCACCCCATGGCATCCCTGCTTAGTCCTGGGAACCCCTATCAAGGTTGTATACAATACTGTCATGCCTCTAGACCAGCATGAGCCTGTCCAACACATTTCATATTTCTGCTTTCAGCCTGGGTCACAGAGAGCATTTTGATACCTGTGTGACTGAGCCAGATGTTAATAACTCACTATATTCAAGCAACAGAGACTGAACGATGGAACTAAAGAGCTCAGAAAAGAAGAAAAGTCACCCTCGATAGAAGGGAATTCTAGAACTAAGCAAATCTTATTATTGGTATTTAAGACCATGTTCATTTTCCTAGTCACTGAAGAATTTATCACTAAAAAAAGTTGTTTCCTTTGTTACAACTCCTAGTTCCTCTTTGTCTCATTTTGTCAGAATGGAATTTCCCAAAGCCACAGTCTTTAAAGGTCTTTAAAATGCAATGTGAGATTCTGACAAACAGACTCTAACTTGAAAGAACCATGCTGGCTTCAAGGTTATTTTTTCTTCCTAAACATTCCTTGCCTCTAGAATGGCACACTAATAATGTAGTATTAATAATGTAAAAAGGCAATTTTACATCTATTTTATAGACCAGAGCAGGAGCCTTAAGGTTTGGCTTTCTAAAGTCCAATGTCTGCCATGTGAATACTGTATTGAGTTTAAAGAGTGTCACTGCTTTTCTGTGTTTGACTTAAAATCAGTTCTTTCTTCCTCCATAATCCACAGTAATAAACCACACACCATATTTTCTTTTCAAGTTGGGGTTATAATATTTTATTTTCTCTTTCAAGTTGGCTTATCCTGTCCAGCTCATTTATGATAGTGGGTTCTGATATATGATTGTGCTGCCATGTTTTGGGGCCCTCTGCAGACCCCTGTAAATATAACGACATTCATGGACCTGGGAGAAACAGTTGAAACCCTGTTTCCCACAGCTCATTGGATCCCAGGCCAAGGGATCTTGCATGGAAATTTAATAGACAAATACCACCAAACGTTTGAAAAAGTAACACCTCTACACTTCTTTCAAAGCTTTTAATGTAAGATTTGGAAAGCTTTATAAAGAGTGTGGTGCGCCACTCATTGTTCATTATCAAGCACTTTGTGTGCACAGCAGTGTGGCAAACACCACAGGAGATGCAGAGTAGTACACAGTCAGGATACGGCCATGCATCACCCATTTCCCCCCCACAAAGCTCATCATCTAGAAAAACAGAGCAGACATAATTACAATATAAAGCAAGGTGATAAGGGTCACAATAAAGGCAAAGGTGCCATGAGAGCCTGGGGGAAATAGAGATCACACCAAATTGGAGGGCTCTGAGGTTTCATGGTAAGGGTAACATGTGAGCCAGGCCTTGAAGGATGCATAGACTTTTAAAGAGCAATGCAAAATGAGCTAAAAAGAACAATGGAAGCATGTCATAAGACAGGTCCGACATAAGCCAGAGCATCAAAGTGGGAAAGTGTGATGCACATTTAAGAAACACTGAGAATTCAATTTCCTTATGGGTACAGGATCAATGGAAGAGAAAGTTGGATAAGCTGACTTCAGGTCATATCATGTAAAACCTTTGTTATCCTGCTCAGGCATTGAACTTGCTCACCAGGCATGAAAGAGCAATTTTAGCTGTATAAACCAAATTAAGTTTCTGAGCTGACAACTTTGGCTATATCTACAAACACCAAGGGTCATGAACAATATTTTGAAGGACTAAACCAATGTATTTCCAATCCCAATGATACTGAGTTTAGTTCCACGGTTCCCGTATCAGGAGGCATCCTGGTGGACTCAGCTCTGATGAGTATTTTCCACAGTAGAGAGAGGGATGTTAATGACAGTGGGCCATGAGAGGCTTGCTGTCTGAGGAGGACAAGAATAAAATACAAGGTAAATTCTCAACAGGCAGAAAAAGAAATTTAAAATCTTCCCTTGCATACCTTAAAGGAGTATGAGAAAAGGAGGCAGAGGAAAGGCAAGCAGTTAGGCGTCACATGACTTAGCTTTCTTGGTCAAATCAAAATCGAGGGATGGGAATAAGGAGACTTGGGAAACTGGCAAGTACCCTCTGCACATTCACAGAGGGGCAGCAGCAGAGTAAAGTCTGCCTGGTCTGATTAAACAGGAAGAGGCTGGAGGTTGTATCTCAGGCCTCCCGTGGCTTTCCTGTGGTAGTAAAGTGACTCATGGGTCCTCACATGGACTCTCTGGTCCACGAGTGGAGAGGCAGAGAAATGGCCAGAAGTTATAGAGGATCTGGGTGAGACCTGAGGTAAGGCTGAGCCAACCAGGGAGACCCATCAGGCCCTGACTGAGGCAAGAAAAGAAAGCAACAAGTACAATCTCAGTGTCTCTTATCGGTGGAGCATATCAGTGCTGGGGACCAAAGGATACACATATTCCCCACAGCAGAGGCTGGTGAGCCTGGTGAACAGTGCAGGGACTCACAGTAACCACAATGAGGACACAGAAACCTCCTCACCTGCTCCCCAGCACATTCACAGTAAGAGAGTGAGGGAGAAGAAAAACAAACACTAAGTCACCCCCCAAAAATCAAATTACAGGAAGGGGAGTTAACCTAAAATAGAATTGAGAAGTTTACATTTTCCCCATTACATTCTACCCCAATATAGAGGCTGAGACTTTTTAGGTAAATCAACTATTAAAAAAAAAAATTATGTGTGTATGTGGCTATATATATTCATATATTTAAATATGTTATACCTCACAAAGTGTAGTGTTGGTATAAATAGCATAACCTACAAAGGAAATTGTGTATATTTAAATGTTTATATATATTTAAAAGTAGCATATATATATATATAACTATATACATAATTACATAATTTATAATACATACTTAAATGTATGTGTGTATACATATATATAGTTACATATATAGTTTTATATATGGCACATTTGAGCACTTAATTTTCAACCCTACTACACAATTATGTCATTAATTAGACCCCAATATGGCTATCTATCCCCACCTTCCTGCTCTTAGACAGGTCACCATCATCCCTTGTGTAGATTACTCTGAATAAACGTAGAGCTGATTTCCTTCTTCTGCTCTTGTTCCTGTCCACTCTCTTCTCTACATGGCAGCCCAGGTGCTCTTGTGCATGCATAAATGGTTCATGTCATTCTCTTTCATATCCACCTCTGCTCAGAATTCAACCCAAGCTTTTCACCCAGCCTTGCAGGGCCAGCCTGCCCTGGCTCCAGCCCCCTCCAACCTCACCCCTACTCCTCTGCCTTTGTCCATGACAATCTGAGCTGTTCTCAATGCTGGAATGTGCCAAACTCTTTTCCTGCCCAGCACCTTATGCTTGTTCTACATCCAGATTAAAATTTTTCTTTTCTCCACTTTTCACTTGGCTGACTTCTCATCCTAAATCTGTCTAAATATCTCCAGAAAGAGATTTTCCCTGATCATCCCTTTGAAATAAGATACCTCTGTTACTCTTTTAAACTGCAGCCTTTGTAATTCTATCTTGCTCTTAACTAATTGATAATTATATATTTATTTTCTATTTACTGTCTTTTTCCCTGGACTATAGGTAAAAACAAAGCTTATTTTATGTAGCATTTTGTGTTCAATGAGTGAGTGTTCAATGAATAGATTAATGAATGAATCAGTGATAATGCAGGAAGCAAGAATCACCAGTCCCAAAGTCATGACAAGTTTTAGAGAATCTAAACCAAACTCTCTCAATTTTATTTGCTTTCACTCCAGGCATTATCTCTAAACATCCTGGCCCAGTCACAGTGGCACAAGGAGGTATGATACAGAGCCACATGAGAAAGCCCTGGGTTCAGATCCCATGTTGACCCGAGCACCCAAGGTCCTGGCTGACTAGTACACTGGAGGAAGAATTGCAGCGTGGAAAGACCCTGCCAATGGTACCTCTCAGAAAGAAGGGACTCAGGAAGGAAGAAAGGAAGGAAGCAGGAGGGGGAAGGAAGAAGAAATAAACTTGTAAAAAATATTAAATGTGCTTCTAACCAAAACAAAGTCTACTAGTAACTTCTTGTGCAGCTAAAGCTATTCTGCAACAGTGATGTTCAAACTTGGTCCAGTGATGAGAATACATGGAGAATACACAAGGTTGTAGAATCACTTTTCTCCACTGGTTTTACCTTATGCTGATTTGTGCAGTCTGAGTTATTGAAGACTTTGACAACTGGGGGTGGGGGAGGGTTTGCTGGTTTGCCACCATTAACTTT